TCTAATCCCACTTCCATTTGAGAGTCTTTGACTTTTCTAATATCTAAGACTCCAAGGCAGCTATTATGTTTGCACCAAGTCTTCTCTTATCTAGACTAAATGTACCCAATTCCCTTCGCCATCCTGGTTGATTCCTGTGGACACTCTGACGTTGTCAATATCTTTCTTAAACTATGGTTTTCAGAACTGAATACAGTGCTCCGGATGAGTTTTGAGACGAGTCAGGTACAGTAGTACTACTGTATTAATTCCCTATTCCTGGAAGCTATGCCCTTCTTAATTTAGTCCAAGATTACACTGACTTGTTTTTCCTACCCACCATGTTGAATTTGAAGTTTACTATTCCCTCCCTTCAGATCAGCTTTTGTCTTATTATCACCTCTCACATCTTATAGTTGAGAAGTTGATTTTTTTGTACCTGTGAGATGTGTGTGTGTATGTGTACATACATATATGCATATACACACACATCCATGGATGATATGTATGTCTACATGGGTGGTCTAAATGTATAGACACAGGTCAGGCAGCATGGATAGATATCTGGAATTTGACCCAGGACAGTTTATGCCTATGTTGTTAGCAATCTAGCTAGGTGGAGAAAGGCTAGCAGACCCCAGGAACATCCTGAAATTGGGTATTCTTTTTTTCTCAGAGAGTAGTATCAAATTAGAATGATATCTCCCTGCTTCCACCAAATATTTCTGGTCTAGGAGTATAATAGATTTGAGACAAAAACAGTTTCCCTAGTCACCCTAATGGAGGGGAGTCTCCCTCTACCAGCTTGGCTCACAAAGGGTGGTTACATGAAGAGCCATTACAAATAACAAATAGCAGATAAGCCCATTTATTCAAGCACACAGTGAACAAATCAGAGGTGTTATATAGATGAGATTAAAACAAAGAATACACACTCACGAATGAACTCTTTAGGTGGAAGAGAGGAGAGATCTTAGCTGGAAACAAGAGTGAGCACCTGATCTCACTCAACAGAAACTCTTCAAAGTCTCTAGTGAGGCAAACTGGAAATCAGGGACATGTTGAGGAGCCAGCTTCCCCTGTGTATCTTCAGCTTTCACAGTCTGTCTTGCTCTATGATTCTCTGTCAAAGAGCTCCTGGAGCCACATGTGTTTCTCTCCACAAGAAGCCCTGTCACAGACTCCACCCCTTACATAGGTATGTAGTGTTGCCTCAGCATTCTCTCCAAAAATCAGGAGTCACAAACATTTACTAAGCCCTACTATGTGCCAGACTGTGCACTAAGCACTTTCCCAAATATTATCTCATTTGATAATATTTGACCCGTCACAGCTTAGGCCTCCAGGATCAGATGTGGTCCATGTGAGCCCAGAGTCTTTGGAGGACAATAGGCCATGGATTGCAATAATATGTGGCAGCCAGAGCCAAACTCAGTAGCCTTGCTGATGTCTGGCCACTGCAGAGTGTAATGGGTCCTTAATCTTGAATGCTGTGCGGGAAGATAGTTGGCATGTTGCATAGAGCATTAGGCCTGGAGTCAAGAAGACTTGAGTTCAGGTTTGGCCTTAGACACTTACTAATATGACCCTGGGCAAGTCACTTAACCTCTACCTGATGCAATTTCCTAAACTGTAAAAACTTACTTCCAAGGGTTATCATGAAGATCAGATGAGATAATATTTCCAAAGTGCTTAGCACAGTGCCTTTCACATAGTAGGCACTTAATAAATGCTTGTTCTCTTCTTCCTTCCCCTTCCCTATGACCCTCTCAATGTAGCCTAAGATTGGTAACCTCATCAGCAAACATGGATTTAACTATTATTTCTTTGTAAAAGACACCCAGATCCTCATATACAGCCCCAGGCTTTCCACTGAGTTTCACGACTCACTTCTATTAACCCATTCTCAAATTGGGAACGAAAAGCCTAAGACCTGGACAAAGGCCCTAGGAGTGGAAGGGTGAAGTTCAGGACAGTCCAGGAGAAGAAGTCACCCAGAGTAGGCTGTCTGTCCTTGGCCTGGATCTAGAGAGGAGTTCCAGTTGACACTGTTCTCAGTACAGGAAGCTTTCCTTGGGAGGTGAGGGAGGGCAAGGGGGAAGGAATTCTTCTAGGGGTCAATATGGACCTCTAGCCAATATGGCGGCCTCCCCAGCCTCTGTCCTCCAACCATGCCTGGTGCCATTCCTTTTCTCTGCCCAGCAGCTGCTTTGGGAATGTATTCATATTCATGGTCTTTCAGCAGAGTCAGGAAGATGAATCAGTGATAGCTCCTTCCTTGCCACCCCCTCCCCCCATATACACACAGACACACGTGATGATTTGTAAACTAGACAGGTGTAGGGGGTAGTTTGGGGGTTATCTGCATCTTAAAAATTATCCATGCCTGGTTATTATCTACAGTTTTCAATTATCTGTTCCCCCTTCCCCCATCACTGGTTATGGGGAATGGACTTTATCCTGCTTGTGGGAGACACAGATCAGGACAATGGATCAAAAACCAGGAGGATGACCTGGGGGATAACCTGCTCTGTTATTCCTTTCCCAGGAAGGGGGGTAGGAGGAGGGACAGAGTCGCTGTCCAGTTTTAGACCTCTGACCATTTTATCTCCTGATTTTGTGTGTGAGCGCCATTCTCCCTTACCTGCTACATGACCCTGCCACGTGCTCCTCCCCAGGTAGGTCTGCTTCTTCCACCTTGGGCATCTCTTTCCTCCTTTCACGCATATTCCCAGGGCAGGGCAATGCTCTGGCCTAAACACCTCCAGGAAGATTTAGGGTCTTCTCCCTCAGGACTCTGTTAATCATTCTCTTGGGAAAGGTCATTCACTGTGAGGTCATTCACATAGTCCCTGCGCTGTTTCCCTTGGGAAACTGTCCTAACCCCACCCCTAGGGGCCACCATAGGCTCCATATCCAGACCGGGGCCATGAACTGGCACTATCAGCTGCTTTGGCACAGAGCACTCCCCGAAGGATCTCTGATTTCCCAGACACAGACAGACACATACAGACACATGCACAGCCGTGCCGATGCAAACACATAACCCAGACGCAGATGTACAAGCGCACAAACACCGACAAATACAATGCACGTACAAAGAAGCAGGCACAGACCCATTTCTCGTCTTAAATGACAAGACTCCTCAGTATGCACTTTCAGCTTTGGTCAGAGTACTATCCTTGCTGCTCACTGCCCTAAATGCCAAGTTTAGTCATACCAAAGGGTGGTGGAGCGTCCAGAGAACCAGACTGCAAGTCAGGAGATGTAGGACTGAGTCCTGGACTTACAATTGCCTAATGAGGTGACCTTAAGCAAGGTAGTCTACTCTATGGGCCTCGTTTTTCTCATCTGTAAATAAGAGCGCTAGATTAGATCATCTCTAAGGACCTCCCAGCTCCCATAATCTGTGTTCAAAGGTCCTTCCCAGTTGACATTCCATGTTTTAGGTAAGATCCCTTCTAGAGCAACCATTTGGTATTCTAACAGCCTCGGTACTGAAGTCCTGACTATGACTTTTCTTGGCATTGATTTCATTAATTTTCATCATTATTTCATAATTAATTGATTTCATCAATACAGCAATTCCTTGTGTTTAAATTCATACCACTGATGAGGATTGCAAGTCCTTGGCAATTTATAGTTTTAAGGAATTGTCTGAGATACCAAGAGATTAAGTGATTTACCCAAGGTCACTGCAGCCAGTTGGTGTTAGAGGTAGGATGTGAATCCAGGGCTTTCTGCCTCTGAGGCTAGTCATATATCCACCATATCATATGCCTATCTTTTCTTTTTTTCAAATGTTTACAACTTTATCCTTCGACTCTTTTATTTATAAATTGGCAGTTCTTCCTAGCCTTCATTTTCTTTTTCATGTCAAGTATTAAAGATTTCCATGTCTTTTCTCAAAATTGCTTATTCTTTAGCAGTTAACCAAAATAATGTTCCTAAACTTAAAAAGTCCTTAATATCTTATTCATTGTATTTGGGGGTTTTCCATTTTCTCATGGAGAAAAAAAATTAATTTAGAAAAAAAATTAATTAATTAATTAACTCAACCTTATATGTTGTCTACTTGCTACTTCTACAACATAATCCTGGATAGTAAAATTTGGTGTATGTTGTCTTAATTTCCATTGCATGAAGAGGGAGAAATCATCAAGAAAATCTTTAACCATCATGTGGAAAGCCTTGAAAGTCCATGCTTTGCCCTCAAGGTTCAGTTATTCTCTCTTACCCACTGCTCAATCCATTTCATTATCTGATCTAAATTACTCTCTAGATCTTCTGGTACATTGCTGGGCAGCTGGTGTACTATTTCATGCTTACAGGAGGCCATGGATTCTTCATAAAGAATTTGGTAAATTTCACTCTGAACATTGTCCTGTAGTTTCTTTACACCGTACCCCTCTTTTCAAGTCTTATATATAATAGAGGATTATCTGTTTGAAGCACAAAAACCATAAGAAACTGTCATTCAGGGAAGAAGTCACAGCCATGGCAATCAACAATAATTGTACCTTCTTTCCTTTTATTTTCTCACTCATCAACTCCTCTGTTTTTATCCAAAATGGAACAATCATATTCTTCATTAAAGCCATCACATTACTGTCCTTCTTGTGCTCAATCGCCCACATTAATGCATATCGGTCCTGTTCTTGATGCAAGGTCTTTACTTAGTGTGGTCTTTCCAACCCCTGGTGTACCTGTGAGCAGGATATCGGGCAGCCTCGTGGATACCGTGACGCCAGCTCTGCCCTGGTTGCCTGCTCTCCGGGACGGAGCAGCAGGCAGAAGTGTATGCCCATCTTAATATGATTCCAAGTCCCTAAACCAAATAACATGATCTCTCTGTTGGCCAATGTCTAGGAACTTTGGGGATCTCTTCTCATAGATTATCTGTAATATGGCACAGCAGGGTCCAGGGACAATATACTCTCCCCCCCAAAGAGACACCTGGAGTTGAGTTCCAAGGATATGAAATCTTTTATTATAAAAACCAATAACTTAAATTAGTTCTGTACAAGTTTCAGGGTGCCTTGGCTTATGAACAGCCCAGGTTCACAGTCATGTTGGGAAGGGAGACCTTGACCAACCCTCCAGGCTCAAAATGGAAAGATACTTCCTTTCCCTTTGGTGTCTTTAGGAAGAAGCTGGGGAGATGGCTCAGAGAAACTGAAACACCCTCCCCCGAGACAGTGGGGAGCCAGGGACCCCAAAAAGTCTAAGCATCAGTATTGGACTAGTAAACTTTCCAGGGACATCATTGGGGGTGGGAGGACTCTTGGTAAAAGTGAGTTGTTTTGAATTTTTGTCCATTTTTTGGAGAACGTTGCACAGACCTGGCCATAACTGGCCAATCCTAGGAGAGATTTAGAGCAGGGATCTTTAACTTGAAGTCCGTGGATCCCCTTGTAGGTTGGACCTCAGGAGGCCCATGATTGTGGATGAGAAAAAAAATCTCGTCTTTATGTTCACTAACCTCTAACTGAAATTTAACATTTCTTCCAATTGTGAATTAAAAAAACCCTGATTCTGAGAAAGGGTCCATATGCTACACTACATTGCCAGTGTAGTTCATGACACAAACAAGGTTAAAAACCCCTAGATTATAGAGGTAAGAAGATGTAAAGAGAAAAGGGGAGTGGAATTTCTAAGGTGTGGAATGCTGTCAGCACATGGGTATTCCACATGAGGGACAAAGGATGTATTTCCTTTTTGTTTTTGTATCTTCAGCACTTAATATAGTGTCTGGCACACAGTAGGTACTTAATAAGTGTTTGATGAATTTGATAAAATCTAGACCACTCCCTCCCCCTTGTTTTCCCATTGACTGATTCCCAAGCCCTCAAAACCAGTAGATTGGAAGATATGAATTCCTTCATCTCTAGAAATTTTTAAGCTTATGAGTCAAGTATGATGCAGAGGGAATTCCTATTCCTATCTTAGACTGGATGTCCTCAGGGGTCCTTTCCAGTTGGGAGTCTATGAAAGCCCAGCATCAGAGCTGAGCTAGTAAGCATCTCCACCCCACCCCAACTTGACTAGCTTTGGCACCTATTAAGGTGGGATACAGAGCCTAGATCTGGAGAATGCTTAGGGCTGGGCATAATGGGTGAGTCCCTGCCCTGAGGCAGTCCAGATCCCATCCAGAGAGGCACAGCCCTCCGAACAAGCTCTCTTACAAGTCTAACGGAGTCTCTGTATTGTCTCAAGCCTGGGTGAGGTGCCTTTGGGTCTTGAATGCATTTGAAAGTGGGAAGGAGCACCATCCCCTAGGTTAAGTCAAGAATAGCATGTCCACAATGAGGCTGGTGATGTCAGCATCCCCAAACATTGGATGGAAAAAGAGGGAGCTGAGCAGAGCAGGAGGGATGGACTTAAGGGTGTTGGCCACAAGGAGGATGCGTGCAAAGCAGCCCCTGTCCACAGGGTGATGGAGTGCCAAAGCCTCCCGAAGGACCTGCTGCGCCTCGTGATGCAAGCTCTCCACGTAGGAAGCAGTCTGGAGGCCGGGTGTGTCTACAGTAAAAGAGGAAAGGGGAGAGCTGGTTAAACCACTGCCACCTTCTGAGAGGCAGCAAACACCGGGGCAGAAGTTTGAAGGGCTGAACTCCCATGCCTGCCTTTACCACAAGCTTTCTGGCTGATCTGGGCAAAGTCAGTTCTCTGTAGTCTCTGGGATTGTGCTTTTGCATCTGGGAAATAAGAAGCTTGTATTCAGTGGTGATCACTTATGCCCCTCCCAGCTCTGACATTCTCTATTCTAAGGCTCCTGGAACCCCAGTTCTGACATCCTGTGTTCTAAGGTCCCTCCCAGCTCTGATATTCTCTGTTCTAAGGGCTCCTCTCTACCTCTGTAATTCTGTATATGGTGAAGGTTTTTTTGGGGGGGGAGGTGAATTTTTTTTCAAATAAAAGTCTATTTTCTCTCCTCACTTCCCTCTAAGGCCCCTCCTAGCTCTCACATTCAGTGTTCTAAGGGCTCTCTTCACTGTCTCAAAATTGTTCTAGGGATCCCTTTTCAGGAAGACTTCTGGTCAACCTAACACACTCTGTCCAGCACTTTATGTATGAAGTCCTATTATCACAACGGGAACTTGCCTGTTGTTTCACAACTTTTCTGTGTATCTGTCCTCTCTCTCTCTATTATTAAGACCACGGCTCCAAAAATGTTTGCATTATGTCTCCCTCATCAGACATAGCATTTCATTCTGGGAGGGTACTTAGAGGACATCTAGTCAAACCTGAGGGCAGCTAGGTAGCACAGTGGATGGAGTGCTGGAAGTGGGGTCAGGAAGATCTGAGTTCTAGTCTGGCCTCAGACACTTACTGGCTGTGTGACCCTGGGCAAGTCACTTCACCCTGTTTGCCTCAGTTTCCTCATCTGTAAAATGAGCTGGAGAAGGAAATGGCAAACCACTCCAGTATCTTTGCCAGGAAAACCTCAAATGGGGTCACAAAGAGTCAGATATAACTGAAAACAACTGAACAACAACAAATCAAACTGTTGCATTCTATAGATGAGGAAATTGAAGCCCGGAGAGTTTAAGTGATTTCCCTGATGCCATCCAACTAGTTAGTCTCAGAGTCACCTTTGAACCCAGGCCCTCTGACTTCGAATCCACTTCTCTCTTCACTTTACTATATTAACTCTTTCCCTCTCCTAGCCAGGCCAGGACTTTGCCAACGGGGTTTTCAGGCTGGGGAGCTGATTACCTTGTCTGACACTTTGCCAGTGGCTCCAGACCTCTTCATCACCATATGCATGGTGATGCCACTTCTTTCTTCCCTCTTCCCAAAGTTGCTTCCTTTCCTAAGAAGGTGTGTGTGTGTGGGGGCATCCTGGCAGTTTTGAGTTCTTATTCTCCCTGGACATAGGGGCTTCTGCCCCCTAGGCTCCCCACAGGAGCTTTGGCTATGTGAAGGTAAGGCAAGAAGGGGACAGATGGGCCCTGGTAAGGTACTGAGGTGATTAGCTGAAAGGGAGGTAGGGTGGGATAGAGGAGAGGCAGGGATCTTCCACTCACCAGGATTAAAGAGGATAGCTCCTTTTAGGTAGGCATACTCCTTGGGGCTCAGGTCCAGACTCCAGAAGGTATGTAGGCAGCATTGGAGTCGATGTACCCCTGCAAGTGTGGGCTGGGGTGTTTGGGGTTCTGGGCTCCTCTCCTCCAGCAGAATCTTCTTGAGCATACTGGGGGCTGGCATCTCAGTCACCTCGATATTCACCGCATCCTGGGCCAGCCCCAGGAGGAAGAGGGGGGCCCAGCAGTTGGCCAGCAGCAACCTCTGGTCCCCTGGGGGCAGCAAGCCAAACGAGGGCAGGTTCTGCAGGAAAGCTACTGTCTTAGCCAGCACGCCTGCTGCTGCCAGGCAGGTGTGCTGGGGAGCTCGCAGGCAGACGGTGCGGTGCCGGGCACAGAGGCAGTGGGCATGAGGTGATGGGCCCCGGGACCGGCTCAGCAAGGAATACAGAATGGCATGTTGGCTGTCTCCACGTTGGCACTCACATGCTCCGGAGCCTGTAGCGGGCCCACCCAGGCTCATGGTTGGGCAGCGAGGTAGGGCTGAGAGGTCGGGCAGGCAAAGATGACTCTGGCCGCTGCCAGCCTAACACTGTTCACTCCCTGTGGGGCCTGCTTGACACACCATCCTAGCCTGTGCTTCTGATTCTATTTATAATCCCTCGGGTGGGAGGGGAACCAGCCCCCACAACCTTGACTCCACCAGGGAAGTCCTATTCATTGAAAAACAAGATGACCCTGGCACGGTTGGCTGGGGAAGTGGCAGGCGGGGAGGGGGAGGGCATGCACGGGCTCCACGTGGCCCTGATAGGGCTTTTAGTCAATGAAAGGACCAGCTGGGGTCACCAGGCAGCCCGCTTTATTGGATGACTCAGGCATGATAAACAGGGCCATTAACCCAGCCGGTACCAGGACACCAAGGCCCCAGGTACACAGTCAGCATCGGGGACATGACAGGTGTCAGTGTACGCATACACACGGCCCTTGTCTGCACCAGGGGCCGCCCAGAGGGGAAAACAGCCTCACAGTCAGACTAACCTTGGACAGCACAACCTGGAAGTCACCTTATCAGCTGCTGTTTGTTTAACCTTGGGCCCTGCACTGGAGGTTCCTGAGGTGCTGGCTTCTGGGTACACAGGATCTGCAAAGCTGGAGGGTGCTTATCTGGGCCCCTGTGCCTCAGTTTCCTTATCAAAAAAATGGGGGTAATAATAGGCCACCTGGCTCACGGGATCTCAGTTTCTACCTACATAAAAAGAGGAGGTTAGACTATATGATGTCTAAGGCCTTTCCAGGTTTGACAGTTTATGTTCTAAAGGAGCTGCCAGCTCTGACATTCTGTGTTCCAAGGGCCCTCCCACCTCTGAAATTCTGTGTTCCAACTCTGACTTGTTCTAAGAGCCCTTCCCAGTTCTTGCATTGTATATTTTAAAGGCTTTTCCAGCTCTAACATTCCCATGTTCCAAGGCCCCTCCAATTGTACTGGCATGGTTCCCTGAATCACCTCTTTTCTCACTGTAGCCTGAAGCTGGGACACCAGGACGTTCTAGAGGAGACCCCCAGTTAGCTGAGCTGATAAAGGGTTCTCCTGTTGCTCGAAGTTAGAGTCAGGCTTTGAGTTCTTGTTATTGACCATGTGACTCCATTCTCTCTCCATTGGCCATTCTTCTTCTCAAAATGGTAGAGCTCTGCCTAGGTCAAGGTTGCCTGTGCATCTCTCTTAGCTTGCAGGGCGGTGTTCAGCTCAGCCCAACCCTCTGCCTCTTCAAAAAGAACCCCTCACAGCCAGAGGCAGGACCTTTTATTAAAAAATGTAAGTGTTCTATATTCTGTGTCCTTGGTCATTCAACCAAGCACCAGCCTGCTTGGGAGTCAATTCCCTTATTCAGTGTACTGTTGCTTTTCTGCTCTGTTCATAGGGCAGCTAGGTAGCACTGTGTTTAGAATACTGAACTTGGAGTCAGGATAGACCTGGGTTCAAATCCTGCCTTGGACCCTTTCTAGCTTTGTGGCCCTCTCAGTCTCAATTTCCCCATCTGTGAAATGGGAATAATAATAGCTCCTATCTTATAGGGTTGGTGTGAAGATTAAATGCAATAATATTTCTAAAGTGCTTTGTAAACCTTAAAGTGCTATATAAATACTAGCTATTATTATGACTTTGTTAAAGTATCTGTCTTAGAACAAGCTCCCAGAGGGCATGGCATTTAAAACATGGAATATCAGAGCCGGAAGACACATTAAAACACAAAAGATCATAGACTCTGTACTATAGTGTGTTAGAGGTGAAAGGTCTTAGGACATAGAGTACCAAAGCAGGACGTTGGAGATCATAGTGTATGGACCCCTCTGGCAGTCTGGTGGAGTCAGGGGTAGCCTGGATTCCTGCTCTAGTCTAGTGCCTTCATTTTACCATTGAGGAAACTGAGGCCCAGGGGATGTTAAAGGCCTTTCTCAGGATCTCAAAGAAAGTAAGGGACAGAGCTGAGGCCCAAACTCAGACCCCTAGATTCTCAGCCTTGTTGACTGACTGACTAGTTTCTGCCTCTGGACGTGCTCCCCCGCTACACTTCATAGTAGAGTCCACTAGAGGCAGTAGCAGTAGCCACACAAAGTAGGAGGTAGGCATCTTTATGGCCCACCATATTGCCTCTCAACATCTGACATTCCCACTAGGGAAGAAACTTTGGATGGTCTTTAGCAGTCCATGAAGAGGAAGATGAAGGCACCAAAAAGAACGAAATGAACAGAGCTGAAATCATACAAAACATCCCAAAGGCAAACAGCATAGATGCTTAGATCTTCTACCTAGAAGGAGGCTCAGAAGTTTATCTAGTAGTCCAGCCCCTTGTGTCCAGGCAAGTAAGTTTAGTGTGGATGCCCTGGACCATGAGTTTTCTCATTGCCTTTGGATTCAGGAATTGCTGAGCCAGAACTGAACATACACACACACACACACACACACACACACACAATGCATATATACATACATATATGCTTGCATGCATACATATGTATATACTATACTATACATACATACATATATACAAAAAGTGGCATCTGCTAATGTCTCAGCCTCTTTCCTTTTCTGCTACAATCAAGTCAGGACATCTTTGAGCTGGTCCAAAAGTTAGGTTTAGGGCAGGGCGACTGCCTGGTGTCATCTCCACTTATCCGGCAGTCACTGTAAGCACGTGGCTGCCTGTCCCTTTGTGCAGATCTTTCCTTCCTGACAGGAGGCAAAAAGTCCTCTAACATGAATGTGTCCAGGCAGGTGATTGTGGCTACAAAGTGGAACAAGGCAGACATTAGTCAATGAATCAACAACAACAACAACAATAATAATAGCTAACACTTATAGAGCTCCTACTGTGTACCAGGCATTGTGCTAAGTGCCTTACAATTACCATCTCATTTGATACAAGCATTTATTAAGTGCCTACTATGTGCAGGGCACTGTGCTAAGGCAAAAACCATCCCTGCCCTCAAGGAGCTCCCAGTCTAAGGGAGAGACAACATGCAAACAAGTGTGTACCTACAAGATATTGACTAGTAGACAAAGGTAATCTTAGAGGGAAGATACTCTGAGCTCCCTTTTAACCCCCCCCCCCCCCCCGGATTTTGATGACGCCACTCCCCTTGCTTCTCTTCCTGTTTGTCTGACTTTGGTCTCTTCGGTCTCCGTTGCTGGGTAATCATCCATATCCCATTTTGTAAATGTGGATCTACCCCAAAGGGTCTGACCAGGGACCTCTCTGCTTTTCTCTTTCCACACTCTTTCTTGCTGATCTCATCAAATCTTACAGGTTCCACTATCATCTCAATCTATGACTGCTAGATAGTCAGCTTTGCAGCTGATTGGCACAGCGGATCGAGCTGTGGACCTGGAGTCAGGAAGACTCACCTTCCTGAGTTCAAATTCGGCCTCAGACACTTGCTAGCCAAGTGACCCTGGGCAAGTCACTTAACCCTGTTAGCCTTAGTTTCCTCATCTGCTGGAAATGGCAAACCACTCCAGGATCTTTTCCTAGAAAACCCCAAATGAGGTCACAAAGAGTTGAACACGACCCAAACAAGTGAACATCAAAGATCTAAAAAGCCAGTCATAGTCTTTCTCTTGAGCTCTAGTCACCTATCACTAACTACCTATTGAGCATTTTACAACTGGAGTTCCCATGAGCACCTGATCTCCATATGACCAGAACAGCATTGATTTTTCTTCCCCAAACCCACTCTTACCAACTTCCCTACTTCTGAGGTCTCTGCTTCCCTCCTTTTTTGCCCCACTCTCTCTCTCTCTCTCTCTCTCTCTCTCTCTCTCTCTCTCTCGGCTAGGCAGTGGGGTTACGTGACTTGCCCAGGGTCACATAGCTAGTAAGTGTCAAGTGTTTGAGGCCAGATTTGAACTCAGGTCCTCCTCCGTCACCTAGCTGCCCCTGCCCCATTCTCTAATGAAGAGCTCACCTTTCCTCTTTTCCATGACCATCCCCTCTACTTATACCCTGGATTCCATCCCCTTCTAACCCTTCCATGGGAGCAGGTTGTTCTCATAATCATCTCCTTTCTCTCTAGTCTTCAATCTTTCCTTATCTATTAGTTCCTTCCCTTCCTTTTACAAACATTCCCAGTTCTCTTCTATCCTTAAAAAACCTTCATTTGACCCAGTTATCCCCTCAAGCTATCTACCATCCTATACCTTCCTTTATCTATCCTATGCCCTTCCTTCAACAGCTAAACTCATAGAAAAAAGCCATCTCCACTTGCTGCCTCCACTTTTTCTCCTCTCCCTCATTTAGCAGCCCCTGGCCTTCTGGCATCCAGTTTAATAATTCAATTGAATCTGCTGCCTCCAAAGTTATCAGTGCCCTTCTAATGACCAAATTCCAGGACCTCTTTTCTCCTTCCTCCTTCTTGGCCTCTCTTCACTATCTGACACTGCTTGCTGACCCCCTTTCCTCCTGGATATGTACTCCTCTTTGCATTTTGGGTGATGCCACTCTCTCTTGGTTTTCTACCTCCTTGGCTGGTCCCTTCTTCCCAATCTCCTTTGCTGGATCACGTCCGACTTCCTACATGTGGATACACCCTTAGCCTTTGTCCTGGGCTCACTTCTCTTTGATCCTTACATACACTCTCTGAGTAATCTTATAAAGTCCTAGAACAGGGGTGGAGAACCTGTGACCTCAAGGCCACATGTGACCCTCAAGTGTGGCCACAGTCTCTCTACCATTTGTCCCCTTCCCTTTGCTGATAGAAACACGGATCCTAATTCAGGTCCTCATCAACTCTCACCTGTATTTTTGCAGTAACACAGCTGGCATTTATATAGCATTATGTAGCATTTGCTATGTGCCAAGGCATTGTGCTAAGTGCTTTACAAATATTATCTCATTTGATCCTCGTAACAACCCTGGGAGGAAGGTGCTAGTATTATCCCTATTTTATAGATGAGGAAACTGAGACAGAGAGAAGTGAAGTGACTTGGCCAAGGTCATATAGCAGGTAAACGTCTGAGGCTATATTTAAACTCAGGATTTCTCGACTCCAGGCCTGGTGCTGTATTTATGGTGACACTTCATTGGTTCCTCTGCCCCTGATCTGTT